AACGGTGCTTGTCATGTGTTAAAGGTAAGAGGCTGCAATGCTTGCAGACTGTACAGTAGTATAAGATTATTTCCTGCCCTAAGGACTTAAGGCATTCTCTTATACACATCTAGATGTGTATAAGAGACAGCCTATGGTCCCACCTACTCAGGAGGCTGAGATGAGAGGACCACTTGGGCCCAGGAGGTTGAGGCTGCAGTGTGCCATGATTGTACCACAGCACTCCAGCCTGAGCAACAGAGCAAGACGCTGTCTTAAAACAAAAAACAAACACACAAAAAAACCAAGCCAAAAACTAGTCTAGAGAATAGGAAAATTAACTACAGCATATATCTCATATTCCTAACAAAGTTTCCAATTGTTTTTTCCATACTGCTTAATGTCAAATCACATCTTGAAATACATTGGACAGATAAATGAAAACAAAACACAACCCTATAATAAGAACAACCTTTTCCTGAATTAACTTTATTGTATCATAGAGTAAACAGGGCTCTACTTAGACCAGGTGTAATTTAATTTGCTTAGTGATGGAAAAAATGATGAAGCTTCCTGAAGTACTTTGGTTTTGCATGGAAGGGCCCTGAAATTGAGGCAGCACCTTACTGGGAAGTGAGCCTGGGGGCCCACTTCTTTCCCCCTTTACTGAAAAGCCATCAGAAAAATTTTGTAAACTCGATGCAGCCCCTTACCAATCTGCCACATGGTTGGTGCCTTGTGTTAAAGGCTACAGTGAATTACATATTTGGTCTATACGTAACCTTCTCTTCTGCCACCTGTACTTTGACCCTTTTCAAAGTTAGGATATGAGCAACGGTTCCCCCGCCACCCTGGGGTATTCCTGCTTAAATCCTCTCTGTAAGTGAGCAATGGCATATGTTTATAAGAAGGCTGTCTGGGCGGACGCAGTGGCTCATGCCTGTAATCCCAGCACTTTGGGAGGCTGAGGTGGGTGGATCACGAGGTCAGGAGTTCGAGACCAGCCTGGCCAAGATGGTGAAACCC